TTTTTTTTTTTTTTAAACCTAAACTGGACTTTCTTTGTAACAGAAGACGTTTCGCTCCTCATCCGAGGAGCTTTCTCAATTCAAAGAGCAGTGAGAAACTGCTGCTCTCACTGCTCTTTGAATTGAGAAAGCTCCTCGGATGAGGAGCGAAACGTCTTCTGTTACAAATAAAGTCCAGTTGTTTTTGTATTGAACGCTTTTTGAATTCATCATGTCCTGGATGACTGAGAATCTTCACCAGCATACTTTTGTGTCACTTCACATAAATGGCATTTCTCCCCTTTGGTGTTCAGACACATTACTCAAAGAATGAATAAAATCTAGAATAGATACAAATAAATACAACTACTTTTTATGTAAACAAAAGTTTATGTACTTTTACTGTATTTCTGTTCTGTGTAACTTTACGATTGTTAGTGTTCTGATTGTTTTCTGCACGTGTATTATAGGACACTAGAACAGCATAGAAAGTGTGTTCACATTCTGAAAAACTATTGCAATAAATGTTTCTTTATTAAATGATGTTTTTTTTATTATGAGAATTTTGAAACACTTGTATTATTGTAATTTTAAATCATAGTCTTTTTGCACGTTTTGTTGTTGACTGTTTTTTAAATCAGTTATCCATTGAACATATGCTGGGGGCTGTGGGTCCTTCCAACTTCACAAAAACAAGTCATGCCAGAAGAGAGACGATAGCAATCGCATCCTTCTCGTATTTGCTGAAGGACGTATCCACAGGGACCACCCCAAACAGTGAGATGAATGGTGATGGGTGTACAGTTTTGCCACATATCCAAGAGAAGGTGTCAAAAATAGATTGCCAAAAAGTCTGCCGTTTGGGACAGGTACAGAATGTATGCAAGAGTGTAGCTGGAGTTTGTTTACATCGATTGCATGCGGGGTCCAGGACGGCTTTGATCTTGGACAGCTTGTCTTTGGACCATTGCAGCAGGTGCACTACCTTGAATTGAATTACAGCATGTTTCAGGCAGATTGAAGATGAGCAAATGTTCTTAATGAGTTTTGCCAGATTGAGTCTGATATGGATTCCTCCAAGTCAGTTTCCCATTTCAGTTTAAGGGAGTCCAGACTGGACTCATGGTATGAACTGAGCAGTGTATAGATCTTGCTGAGGTCCCCCTTGGTATCAGACCTGCATTCCAAAATCTGAACCACAAAATGTTTAGAGGGGTACAAAGGAAAACGATAAGTTAGTCCTCACAAAATGTCTCCGCTGCAAATATTTTCAACAAAGTCCATGCTCAATAATCCAGATATAAAATCCAACATTTTTCAGTCAGGTCATCTGGACAGTTTCTTTTTTTGTGCTGAAACATTTCGCCTTCGATCCAGAAGGCTTCATCAGTCAAGGAAACACAACAAAACTGATTCTTCCCCCAACAGCTTACTCCAAAGTGGAACAAACCAGTTCTGCTTGTGATAAGATGGTCTCTTAGGTACGCCCCTCCTCCAATGCCGGCCCTCTTCTTTGTTGACAGTCTTGTCAAACTGGTTGAAAACAACAAAGTCCATGCTCAATAATCCAGGTATAAAATCCAACATTTTTCAGTCTTCAGTATATTTTCGTTCCCAATGTGAGACACAAAACTAATGCTATGAAAGAGAACTTTAGATTACTGTCGTAACCCCAGTTCTCCGAGTAGCATGAGTGAATGTCTCACTGCTCTAATGATGCAAAGAAGAGGTAAACAGTTTTGAATAAAACGAAAGTGCAGCATCAGCCCTATATATAGGGGGAGGGCCCTGCCCTCCTTAGGCCTATTTCCAGCCAATCCTGGTTGCTGTAATGTAATAGGAGCTTCTGATGAGGTCACACCAAGGGCGTTCCCAATGTGAGACACTCGTGCTACTTACTGGGGTTACGACAGTAACCTAAAGTTTGTAGTGCTTTATTTGGCCGTTTTGGTGTGTGAGGTGACTATTAGAGGTTAATCAATCACATTGTTGCATAATGTCACATTCCCAGTATAAATTGATACTGATTTGATATTGTCAACAGAAAAATCAAAGCAAATATGTTCTTGTTTTTAGTATTTTACCTTGCTTTACGACTTCCTGGTTTATGGTTTTATAACACTACTTTAATTTTAACTGCATTTTTACTGTTGTTTATTGATGTTGTTTGTACTTTATGTTCTGCCTGGAACAGGTCCCTCTTGTAAATGAGTCATTGAGGCTCAATGAAACTAGCCTCTATAAATAAAGTTTGATTGAATGAATGAAAAATAAAAATAATAGGGTAAAGATAATGGATGCATGGATAAATGAATATGTCAATTTCTAAACGTTATTTTTTTTTTAGATGTGCCTTTTGAACAAGCAGGCAAAATATATATAGAGAGAGATTCTTTATTGTCATTCGCACCACATGTGGTGCATGTGGTGGATCAAAATTATGTACACAGGATCCCAGTTACATCCAACAATAAAATGTAAAATAAAAACAGATATGAACTAAGAAAAACATTAGCTAAAAATACACTAAGCATTAATAGCATAAAAACAATAAACACAATACGCCAAACAGCAGCACAAACATGAGTCTGTGTGAGCAGATGAGCACAAATGAACACAACATGAAACAGATCAGCAGCAACATGAAACAGATCAGCAGCAACATGAAGCAGATCAGCAGCAACATGAAACAGATCAGCAGCAACATGTGGTTTTTCACAGTGATTATTCTGATTAGAGATTCATGAGTCCAACAGCCTCAGGGTAGAAGCTGTTCCTCAGTCTAGTGGTTCTACACTTAATGCTCCTCAACCTCCTTCCTGAGGGGAGTGGGGCAAAAAGTGTGTGCTGGGTGAGTGGGGTCCTTCATGATGCAGGTGGTCCTCTT